CCCCCCCTGCAGCCCCTCCACCGGCAGCTCCAGCAGACCCACGGGCGCCTGCGGACAGCGAGGGCTGCGGCAGCTCAGGAGCACGCGGAGAAGCCCGGGTGAGCAGCTGAGTGATCAGCATCTCCCTCTGCACCTCTGGTTCCTTCCTAGGGGTTGTGGTGGGTGGGGAATGAGTTTGATGAGTCTCAGCCGTCGTGGTGCTTCAGTGGTCTCCAAGGTGCAGATTAATCGTGGTTAGGTGTGAAAAGCACCAGGAAAAATCCAGGACTCTCAGCACCACGGACTGAATGTGTCCCTGTAAGGCAGCGCCAGCAGACATGGGGACAGCCTTCACCCAGAAGGACACAACCAGGACTGATGCAGGGGTCGTGGGTTTTGCTGTCCTGCTCCATCGTTGCCTCTGGGGCTGGGGACAACCCTGGGGCAGGGGTGGACGCGGTAAAGGGGATGCAATGGCCATTTTGACCCTGTGCTCTGTGTTTGCAGGGACGGAGCGGTGGCAGAGCTGCCTGGCGAGCTGCCCCTGTCCCCGCAGGTACTTCAGCTGGGTGTGCAGGGATGGGACGGGCCTCCATGCTCCACGGCCTCGTGCTGTTTGGTTCAGGGCTCCTGGGGAGCCCAGGAGCACCAGCTGCTTCTGCAGCAGAGGCAGTGTCTGCCCTAAAAGCTTTCTCAAAGTGGGTCAGCGCGGTGCCCTACAGATGCTTGGGAAGGGAGGGGGTAGCAGCACGTTAGTCCTGATACCCACCTGAAATCCTGGGGGTATGGTGGATACCTGCCGGAGAGCTCAGCATCATTCCGTGTGAATATGCTCCCTTGCCAAGCGCTTTTCTCTCTCCCCTTCCCACCCTGTTTGCTGCAGAGTCCGGAGAAGAGCGAGAAGTACCGTTCCGAGATGCGGCTCAGGCTGGGGTCCCAGAGCACCGAGCCCAAAGTCAGGAGCACCCACCAAGTGTAAGGGGTCCTGGGCAACAGCTGCTGCTTCAGCTCGTGCCCTTGACGTCTGCGAGCTGGTGCGAGCACCCAAGTCCTTCACCCTCCCCAGGGAAAACACGATGTTTATTTCCTTTCAATGGCCCTTTCCCACACACTCATCTCTCATCCTGGAGATCAGACCTCTTACCCCGGTTCGCCAGCCCACGTTGCTCCCTGGGCTCAGGCATTCACCGTAACCTGGCCATGAGTTGTCTTTCCATCTCCGATAACGTGAACACGGAGCCTGGGAAGAGGCAGGCTGGCTTGCTGGGCAGGACACAGCCCCAGGTCTGGCTCCCTGGGTGTGCATCCCCTTCTCCCTGTCCCTGTCACTGCTTCTGTGAACCTCCAGTAGACCCAGAGGACGAAGACAGTCGGGTTTGGGGAGGGATGGGGTGAGGCGATGGAGGACAAGTCCCCCAGTACCGGTGCAGGTGGATGGGAGGGAGCTGCAGCCCGACCCAGGGGCTGGGCTGACCCCCTGCTATTTTCTGCCCTTTCCAGGGTCTGGGAAGTGCTGCCAGCAGAAATAAGCATTTTGGGAGCCTCACCGAGAGCGAGCTCTGCAGAAGAGGACCTGTTCCCAGAATTTCTGAAAGCGGAACCCTTTTCTGACCAAAGCTCTTTGCTAAGAGAGATGAATGATGCAATAGCAGCTCTGAGCAGGCAGCTGAAGCCACAG